ATCACCTGAATGGATGTGAGCCGTGACATGATATGTGAGAGCTTCTGCTCGTGATTAGTTTGTACTGTCGCTATAGTTTCTCTTTGAAGCTCAGGTCCTATGTGGAAAATCTTTTCAACCAAGATGTCTTCGAAGCGGGTACAGAGAACAACTCCTTTATGACAAGGAATTAATAGCTCTAAGATCAGAGTTGAGATCAAAGTATTCCAAAAATTCGTCCCAATCAACCACGAACTTTCAAAAACTTTGGAGGGGATTCTATAGGCTGTCTAAAAATTACTGCAGATAACTGATCCCTATTAAATACTGATGATGAAAGTTATAATTTGACGGCTTTCAGAAGACTACAATTTCAAGACTTTCATGTAGATCGATAAAGGTTACAATCTGATGACCTTCACAATAACCGATGAAAGCTCTGATTAATAGTCTTCACAATCAATAGCGAGAGTTACAACCTGACAACTCTCACATATCAAAGAACTAAAGCAAAGATTACAAAACGACGATCTTTGCAACGCTCTGATAAAAAGAGACTATAAATTGATGGTCTCCTCAAATCAAGACGCAGAAGTCCTCCCCGTATTTCAGCATCAAGACGCGGAGGTCCTCCCCGCATACCAGTATCAAGACACACCACGTTCACAGCCACTGACGCAGTGCAAACGTAGCTTTCACGCACAGCGTTCACAGTCGCTGACGCAGAACAAACGCAGCGCCAATTCAACCGTGAATGCAGCTCCTTATCAGCCATCGGTGAGTAGCTCAAGCCCACAGACGCAGCTCAAACCTGGCAGCAAACGCAGCCTCCGAAAGCTGCCAACGTAGCTTTCATCCGCTGCCAAACGCAGCTTCCAAGCTACCAATACAGTATCCAATAAGCTGCCAACACAACTTCCAAATCACTGTCAAACGCAGCTTCCAAGCTGCCAACACAGCTTCCAATAAGCTGCTAACGCAGCCTCCAACAAGCTACCAACGCAGCCTCCAAATGCTGCAAACGCAGCTTCCAAACGTTGCGTTTGAACGCAAAACTCATGCCAGAACGTAATTCTTGCATTTGACTCGTTCAAACACAAGCTGAACGATTTTAAAATCGTTTTTTATGATCTGAGGAGATTACAACTCAACTAAGGAGTGATTTAAGAGGGGTGGTTACATCCCATTTAGCCCTACTTAGAAGCAAATTAAGGGGGTAGTTACACCCCTTAATCCCCTATAAATAACTAAAAATCAATTTAGTTGGGATTTTTTGAATCTTTGAGTATTTTGGAGATCTAGAGATCGGCTCCTTCGGATCATCTTCTCGACAATAGATTCTTGGAGCTTTCTTCGTCCTTGGCTTGTCTAACCAATTACGGTTAAGATCAATCGACTCTTTTACAAGAGTTTAAACTCGTTCTGAGTTCCTAAACTCGTTAAGAGTTAATTTTAAACTTGCCACGTAAGTTCTCCTCTACATCAAATCGAGAGGAATCAACCACGTTCCAACGATGTGAGGTGTTCGGATCGTCAACGGAGAGCAAACTCGATATAAGCGTTTGAGGAAGATACTCCATCACTACCATAAAGAACCCAGAATTAAACAAAGAGAAGAATTTACATCAATTATTTTCTCTTTTATAGTTGGAAATTCAAATTGTAATCGAGATTAAGAGAGTTGTAAACATTCTTTTTCTAAGCAGTTAGAGGGAATAAATCAATTTTAATTCTTTTAATTTTTTTATTACAAATTTTCCAACAAACAATAAGCTCGGGCGTCCTCCATGTCCATATACCCATAGGCTTTGTGGCCATCAACTGCTCTCAGTTGGCGACTGGCTTCTTGGCAAGTGAGTCGGCCAACTCGTTGCTCTACAGGTCGGCCACGAGTGCAAACATAGCAACCGCACTTCCTGGGACGTTGACCTCTAGCCTCTTTGCTTGGAACCTCTTAAAGTAGGCTCGAAGGCTCTCTCCAGGCCCCTGCTTTATCTAAATTAATACATGAGGGGGCAACTTCTGCTTAGTATCAGCTAGGAAGTGGTGGATGATCTTTCAGCTAAGTTGTTGGAAGTTGCTAATAGACTTCTTCTCAAGAGCATTTCACCAGAGCTTAGCACTCCCTGAAAGAGTGATGGGGAAACATTGACAGATGACTACTTCTAAAGCTTGGAGCATGCTCATCACGTCATAGTAGTTCTGAACATGCTCGGAGGGGTCTCCCTCGCCTTTGTACTTCTCCACATGAGGTATCTTGAACTTCTCACATAGGACATTCATGATGTCATCGGAGACGGGGGTGTTACCCTCGATGGTGTCGGCGACCAGTCTGTACACCCGATCATATCTCGTATCTCGAGGCCCTTATGGTAACTGAGGGAGCTGGAGAGGCATGGTGATGGAGGAGAGTCTTAGAGACCACTCTGCTAGTGCGATCCCCAAGGTGGCCTGGGCTAGGACTCTTGCCAGTGATCTCCTTATGATGGTGGCGATGTCGTCGAGGCTCGTCAATACGAGTCGATTAATGAGGTGGCGGGCTCGCATGCTCAACATGGTCCTCCAACTACTTGGCAACATCATGAGTCTGAGGCAAGACCACTTGTTGTGCTCCTGAAGGAGAGTGAGTCTCCGACCGCATGTCTCTAGAAGGTACAGGTATAGCTGAGGAGCTTGTTGTGGCTGCGGAAGCCGGCTGAGAAATTCGCTAGTAAATGTAGTGAATTGCTCTTGGAGAGACTGAGAAAGCTTCTAAGCTATTTCCTCAAGCTGCGCTCGAGTAACGTAGCTCTGATGAGGTCCTACAGGGTGGAGCTGACCAATTCCTTGCTCAGAACTAGACATGTTTTCTTAAAATAGAAAATAGCCCCATGGTGGACGCAAAACTGTTGATGTTAAGTGATCACACAGTCAATTGTATTTGTTGTTGGATGAGGTTGTTCAATATTGATGAGGGGACGATTTCTTCTCTGACTTTATGTCCAATTCTTGAGTTAGGTTGCTAATTAAAAGCCTGCACATGTAGGAATTCATGAGAGGACAGGGCTTGGATCCCTTGTGGTTCCTCCAACGATCAAGTCAGCTAATGAACTTGAGTGGAGGAAAATGAAAAACTGTGTGAGTTCTTGTGTGTATACAGTATGTCTGCTTAAAGGCCAGATTAGATTAGATCCAATTTTTTAGAGAAAAAGATCTCAAAAGAAGATCATCGTTCTATTTGAATAGTACCTGTATTTATACCTAGGTAATAATGATATATTGATCACTTCAACCGAGCACAGGATGGCGGTGACGAAGTGTGGGCTGGTAGCTGAGTTAGCATCTACTTTATAGGTATCAGCTGGGGAGTGAGAGAAGTATCACTTTAGCATTAAACGAGAAGTGATTGGCGGTATGGCGGTGCCCATGTGGTCTGATAAGTCATGAAGGCTATTTGGGGCCAGAGGCATGATATGCATGTCATGCATTAAATGCGATGTTGACACGTCGCTAGCGGGAAGGACTCAAGGCAAAAGTTGTTCTTTAACTTCACCGAGAAGTAATGCTTTTCGAATCGTCTTTGTGAGGCGACAAATATCTGGTTGAGTGGGCTCATGACGAGTCGTTTTTGACAAGAGGGTCAACTAGTACCGCCTTTCGAGTTGACATTGAGGAATGTTGACTCGACAAGTCAGCTAGGTCGGGATCCTCGCTGGTCTCTAGCCACCAAATTGATTGGAGTATTGCATGCATAAGTACACATGTCCGTTACTTGGCAATAAGTTGCACTTTGGCGAATGGGAACACCATAACACTTATACAATAACAAAGCTCAAAACTATAATGATGATCATCTATAGTGCTAGAACTCATGCAATAGTAAGGACAATAAATTATAAATAAATAAAATATAAATTCACTAAAATAAAGTCATTAATACATTCGAACATAAAAAAGGATATTTTACAATTGTTCTTGATAAGTTGTTATATTTTTCAATTTTTGTACAATCAACTCATTTTCAATTGTCTTAAATATCTCTATTTTAATTTAAGTAACCAAACAAACATTCAACCCACCATCTCTCATTCAATTGTACAAGCGAGTCTTCACAATTTTTTGTAGCTAAAAATGTTCTTTGGTTTTAACAAAGGGAGCCATATCAAAATCTACTACAATTAATGAAAAATCAATCATATTTAACAAAATAAGCTTCTATTTAAAATACATGTCATGATAATAAAAAATATAGTTTATTTAAACCTACAAATGGACTATAATGAAATTAAAATTTTAAATCATCTGTAATAATCATCTGTAAATTAAGTTTTAATTTACATATTAACGCCAATTGCACAGGAAACAAACTAGCTTATGATGACTAAAATTTGAACCTAGCTACAGTACAAATCTCATTGTCCTATCATTACCTGTACTATTATGTAAAGTTAGTAGGGCGAAGAAAAATTTCGGAGGAACGTAGGACTACATCATGCCTCGGAGATGGAACCTCTTTTTTAAAGTAGGTGAATAGTAATTGAGGCTCTCTCTCTCCGAGGCATGATGTAGGGTCTTGATTTGACCACCTCACTACCAAGTTCAATGAAAAAACTTGGTACCAAGGTTCTCCATATTTCTCATATATATATATATATATATATAGTTAAAGTAATTTTCTCTCTCTTTTTAGAAGAACAATTTATAGAATTCTTGAGAATGAATAAGAAGTCTAGGACACATAATTGCTTATAAATATTATAAGTTTTTATTAAATTTCTAAATATCTTTTATAATATACTAAGTGTGTGTTCGGAAACTCCGTGAAACTTATTTTAAGTGATACAACAATTTATAGTCCAGTTTTAAGCGGGCAAACACACCCAAATGTACAATGAACGTCAAAAGTATAGGATTTAATTTTAAATGGTGAAGGGCAAATCCGTCTTTTCAGCAACTTCCACCAGGCCACGAGCCGCTATAAAACCGCATCCTCCTCGCCGCCAAATCGCATTCGTTCTCTCGAGAAAGAGAAAACTCGGAACCCAAAAATCACAGAAACCCCCCAAAAAAAGAAGAAGAAACCAAATCCCCAACTCTCTCTTCAGAATTCGGAAAAAAATAGGTTTTTTCTTTTTAAAAAAAAAATCGAAGAATGGCCGATCATCGTCGGAGGAAGAGGGCACGCCTCGTCGTCGGCGGGTTCCACGTGCCGATCATGTGCGCGCCACGTGGTCGGGAGGAGGAGGATCTCGAGAGGGATCTCTCNTCTCGATGGAGGGGAGCCAGTACAGCATCTCGAGCGCCATGCTGCCCTCGCTCGGAGGGAGGAGCCAGCGCAGGATCAAGCTCCGCAGGCTCATCGTATCGCCCTACGACAAGAGATACCGGTAATTACGTGATTGCCCTTTAAAAAATAGAAATTTTTCCGATTATTTTTCTGTTTTTTTTTCTTGGTCTGTGCAATGTACTTTGATGGTGAAACCTTTTAACTTTTAGGTGGTTGTTTATTGCCTTTGTTTTTTTTTAATATAAACCCGTTTTACCCTGATTTAGTTTTAAACCCATCCAGACCCAGATTCTATTTTATGATTGTAACTAATATTTTAGTATTTTCCACAGTTTATCTAAAAAGAAAGGTATTTTAACACAGATTTTTATCACAAAATTAATCAGCTTGAGAGTTCTGGGTGAATGAATTATTAGCAAAACAGTGGATTTAAAATCAAGAGCCGTTTTATTATCATGTTTATTTTTTAATGTTTTTTAATCTTACACGATGTACTTGACGTGTGAGAGTTTGATTGTATTGATTTGATTGATTGATTAATAGCACTGAGTTGATTGATACCTTGTTTTCATGGAATTCTCGAGAATCTTTGAGAGATCTAATGGTGTATTTGGCAACTCTCTATAATTGGGCGAGGTTTGAACCTAGCCCAATCTTTTAGGCTGTTTCGTTGATTAGTAAAAACTAGTCTATAAGTGAATCGGTTTACTTTAGTTTATTTTTTGACCTCTAAACTGGTTTAGTTGTGGATTAGGGGAAATTTGGTCCATAACTAAATTAGTTCTTTCCGAAACCAGTTTACGAAAAAGTATGGTTATTTTAGTGAGTTGCGTCCTAAGAGATTCTAAGAGAACTCACTCCTAAAAATAGCTAGCTGAGAGAGGGAACCTTAGTCCTATCACCCATGAAAACTGGTTGAGCACTATTCTAGTCTTGGTCGAACACTACAATCCCGATGTCGCCTCTTTGGCTTTGCACTGGACTAGTCCCAAGCGAAGGCTGCAATATCAACGACACCACCTGCTGAGCTCACTTGCATTCGGGAAGGAGGGATTGACTCTGATACCATTTGTAAGAGGCCTAGTTGTTGGAGAATTTTAGTCCCTTTGCGTACTACGATCTCCGTAACTCGGAAGCCAACTCCACAATCAATAAGATAGAAAATAACCACAATTAAGAAAAAGAACACCGAGATTTACATGATTCGATCGACCAACTTCGACTTACATCCATGGAGCAACAATACGAGAAATCCACTATGAATCAGGAAAAACTACAAGAGAAACCATTCAACTTTTATCTCTCAATTTCTCAACCTTACATACATAATCAATTCTCATATTCTCTTCAAAACTCACTCCTTACAATCTTTTGAACATACAAAGAGTGCGAAACCTTCTCTAATATTGTAATCTTTTGCACAGACAAAGACTACGAATCACTCACCTCTCACATAATATTCTTGAATCAGAGACCATGCCCTCTGCTAACCCTAAATTATAAGAATATTAGCTCTCTCCTCTCCTTCACCTTGGTTTTTTCTCTAACAATAGAGGGATATTATATAGGGAAACCATAACCATACCCCTAGCCAAATATCTTAATTAGAATAGGATACAACTCATAATCATGATGAGACCTAATCTCCTAATTATGATAGATCTTTAACCCTATCTAATTCTCATGAAGTTAAACAAAGAATTAAAGACACAATCCCAATAATCTAAAATTTGGATTTGATTCCCAAACTATCTTGAAGATATATCATTGTTGTCTTGAATTTTGTCTCTCCTGCTAGAGCCTTTTATTCTCTTGCACTTCAAATCGAAAGCACACGCACTCCTAATTAGAACACCTGCACTCCAATTTGGACATCACGTGACCTTTGCTATTGTCTGCCTCATCGTAACTTCTCTACCTCTCTTTTATACACTAAAAGATCTTCGCTACCTCTGACATTAGAAGTAAATCAACCATGCTTCTCCTCCGAACTGAACTTGATAGTAGCTTTCTCCCACTTGTTGTCCTCGTACTCCACCTGCATCACTCGTCTCAAACTATATCGGTGCACCTCTCCTACTCCATACTTCAAGTCGGATACCTCTATCTCCTCCATCATTTGGCTTGGACCGAATATGAGCACTCATTTTCCTACAATATCTACAAGTCCAATGCCACTATTTCATCAACATGTATGTCACTCGGTCGTGTCCGCTTGTAAGCTCCACTTAAACTAGCACTATCATCCATGAGGCTGCACACCAACAAACTCCGGCTCCCGCGATAACTATGAATAATTATATGTTGATAACTTTATTGTTAGAATCACGTCTGATTCTCTACACCAGTCTCATCCGTCACATACTTATTTACTCTATCTACCATCAGATCTGTCTCTTTACACCATTAGAACTTATCAGCACTTTTTGATCAATCTAAGCAAAATCTAAAAAATCAGACCCTACCATCGCGTTCAGAGCACACCAAAATCTAGGAATCAATTCTTGGATCGTCGAAATCCGCCTCCAAACCCTCGATTAGAAAAAAAATTAGTCTTCCTTTTTTCCATTTTCTTTTTCTTCATCTTGATTCTTGTAACGCCACCGATCTTCACTTTTTTACAACGTCTATCTTGCAAACTCGCTCCCGGATCCATCATCATGGCTTTGATACCACTCGTTAGTTAGTCCCCCCGCGTACTATGATCTCCGCAACTCGAAAGCCAAACTCACAATCAACAAGATAGAAAATAACCGCAATCAAGAAGAAAAACATCAAGATTTACGTGGTTCGATCGATCAACTTTGACCTACATCTACAGGGCAATAATACGAGAAATCCACTATGTATCATAGAGAACTACAAGAGGAACCACTCAACTCTCGTCTCTCAATCTCTCAACCTTACAAACATTATCAACTCTCATATTCTCTCTAAAACTCATTCCTTACAATCATTTGAACGGACAAATACTACGAAACTCTCTCCTAATATTGTAATCTTTTGCATGGACAAAGACTACGAAACTCTCACCTCTTGCACAATATTCTTGAATCACGCTACGCACTCTGCTAACCCTAGATTACAAGATTATTGGCTCTCTCCTCTCCTTCACCTTGATTTTTCCTGCAACAATAGAAGGATATATATAGGGAAATCAAAACACTACCCCTAACCGAATTTTCTAATTAGAATAGGATACAAACTCGTAATCATGATAAGACTCAATCTCCAAATCATAATAGATCTTTAACTCTATCTAATTCTTATGAAGTTATACAAAGAATCAAAAACACAATCCCAACACTAGCTAGCTGTTAGTGGGACTGAGAGAGGGAATTGACTCCCTCTTCAATTAGCATGGGACTAAATGGACCCTAACAAGTCTATCAAAAAAAGTTGTTCCTCATGCTAAGCACACCAAGAACTCTAGCCGAACCAAATATTTCAACCCAAATTTTGTATTTGCTTTAACAAAAAGTTCACTACATAAAGTGATGTGGTTTGTTGTTACATCCGCGAATTACCATGTCGAAACTGCTCTTCTCTCTAAGATTTGAAGAGGAAGGGAAGTGTGGGCCCTGCATTCAATTTTTCATTCAACTAAACAAAAACTTAGAAAGTTTGAGATTTTGAGGAATTTTGATTTTGTCCAAAGCCCAAATCTCAAAATTCTCAGTCAAATTACACCTTAGGATGGGTGTTAACCCTTTGAACTGGCGGTAAATATTTTGATGAGTTGACTGGTGGAACGAAAGAATGGTTTTTTTATATAATTGAGAAGTAGGAACTGGAGGAGTGTTAGAATTTCATGAACGAGGGTTGGCATGCCTAGTTTTTTTGTGGTGGAAATCTACAACTAAATCTATCCTCCAAATACACCACAAAAAAAAATTATCATAGTCGCGGCACTGATATCTCATGTGTCCAGCCCCCTTTATGAAAGTGTTACTTTTGTCGTGAGGATGCACAAATTGTAAAAGTACTGAACCCGTTAATTTGGATCATTCAAAGCTCGCAAATCTTAGATTAAAATAAATTTGTGTTCTCATCTGATGATGCCTATACCTCCAATTCGTTTCACTTTCATCGCCCTGCCAAATTAATTTCTTTTTAACTCTACCAAACTAACTAAGTAGTGTCCACTTCATATCCTGATTGTCAAATACATTGTCAATGGGTCTGCTTTAGTTTTGTGTTGAATACTGCTGCGAACATCTCTTGACTTTTTCAAGCTCAACCGAAGGAATGATGGAGCTTTTGCTAGAACTTCTTCTTGCTCTTACTCATGATTTGAGGAATACAAGGACTCACAATTGCGATGTTTGGATTATTCTACTCTAGCGGTTTATTCTGTATCTTATACTGATTTCTCTTTCCAAATTATCGCAGGGTTTGGCAAACCTTTCTCATTGTTTTGGTCGTTTATACAGCATGGGTGTCTCCATTTGAATTTGGGTTTGTCAAAGGACCAAGAGGAGCCCTGGCCATTACAGACAACATTGTCAATGCTCTATTTTTCATAGATATCATCTTGACCTTTTTCTTGGCCTACCTTGATAGAGCCACTTATCTTCTGATAGACGACCACGGGCAGATTGCAAGGAAGTATGTATTCAGCTGGTTCTCTCTGGATCTCATTTCCACTATACCAAATGAACTTGCTCGCAAGATCCTTCCACCGAAGGTTCGCGATTATGGATTCTTCAACATGCTTCGGTTGTGGCGTCTTCGGAGAGTTAGTTCTCTTTTCGCTCGGTATGTATTCTTTTTTCATTATTGCTAACTTGATACATGTTTCTCCCATAATTTGTTTGATATGTGTGCGTTATTTCTTTTAATCTGTTCGTACATGATGTTTTTTACTTTTGGATACTTGATGTAAATTGTTTCTTTTCTACTGAATAACTGGTGTATTCTGACATTAGTAGGCTTGTTAAGATTCTTCCGGCCGTTTATCCTATTCCTTAGAATCACCTTACTAACCTGATGAGGTTATTTTATGTTTGAAAACCTGGATGTCTTTAAAAATTAAAGTATACTCTATATTAAGTACATGAATATTATAAACAATTAAATGGGTCACTTGGGTTGGTGGGTAACCCGTTTAATAAACGGGTTGACATGGTTATTTAATAGGTCTGGTTGACCCGTTTGCCACCCCTTGGGTCAATTGTATAAGACGGCTATATCATCAACTATGCTGTATGGCTTGGCAATTAAGAAAAAATAATTTCAAAAAATGAGTGTAGCCGTCATGTCTCTAAAGATGGATGGTATGAAATATACTAAAAAGTACGATGAAAAACTAGGGGAGACATAATAAGTGAGAGGTAGCTTCGACTAAAGATAAGAAAGTAGAACTAGTAAAGATAAAATTTTGTTGTTGCTGAAAGTGAGCGGTAAAGATAAAATTTCTCTTTCACGAAAATCTTATACTTTATGCCTCCATAATGGAGAACAGTAATTGCACCTTTCAGCTTATAGTGAATCAAGCACCTTTGTTATGAAAATCAGTGGTTGTGGAATACAAAATAGTAATAGATCGGGAAAAAAGGAAATTTTCTTGAGGTTTCGAACCAAAGCTACACCTTCTATTTCCTTCTGGATGTTGTTTCTTCGCAAACCTTGGACAGAATATCAAAATGTTTTAACTGTCCTCAGAGGGAGAGAGAGGTTTAGAAAAAAAAAAGAAACAGAAATGTGGTGAGCAAGGTCCTTTAGTTTCCTTAGAACTGACTTCTGTATTTTGTAACTATTTCATTCATGTTTTCTGCTCTGTCCTTTGATTTGTCAGATTAGAGAAAGACAGAAACTTCAATTACTTCTTGGTTCGATGTGCAAAACTTATTTGTGTGAGTTTTTTACAGTTTAGATATCTCACATTCTTCTTTTTCTGCTATTGTACAAGCATTAAATATAAGAAGGTTGTGCTTTAGGTCACCCTATTTGCTGTCCACTGTGCCGGTTGCTTCTATTATCTACTTGCAGCAACGTATCCAGATCCAAAAATGACATGGATTGGAGCATCTATGCCTGATTTCCATCATAGAAGCTTGTGGATTCGGTACGTGACTGCGATGTACTGGTCAATTACCACTCTTACAACAGTTGGATATGGAGACTTGCATCCTCAGAATACGCGGGAGATGGTTTTTGACATTGCTTACATGCTCTTCAATCTAGGATTGACATCATATTTGATTGGAAATATGACCAATTTGGTGGTCCATGGGACCAGCCGAACAAGAAAATTTGTGAGTATCCTTCCGCCTTATCTCTCCTATGCTCTTTTGAAGACTAAAGCTTAGCTATAACTTTTAACTTCTTAATCCAGCGATAACATTATTTAACATATAGGCGTTTTGAAATGCAGAGGGATACAATCCAAGCAGCCTCAAGTTTCGCACAAAGAAACCAGCTACCAGACCGACTCCAAGATCAGATGCTTGCTCACCTGTGTTTGAAATTTAGGACTGACTCAGAGGGCCTTCAACACCAAGAAACCCTTGATGCCCTGCCTAAGGCCATCCGATCTAGCATTTCTCATTACTTGTTTTTTAATCTTATTTTGAAGGTCTACTTATTCCGCGGTGTTTCTAGCGATATCCTTTTCCAACTGGTATGATTCCAAGTGCTACGGACATTCAGTTTCCATTGCAGGAGCTTATCCCTCACCTTTTGGATTTGTTACTTACAGGTGTCAGAAATGAAAGCTGAGTATTTTCCTCCAAGGGAGGATGTGATCTTGAAGAACGAAGCACCAACGGACTTCTATATACTAGTCACTGGTTCTGTGGTAAGAAAATATTTCTCCTGGAAAAAAAAAACTAAACTGTATCATCCAATTTAGGCATAGGATATATCTGAGTACTTACTAGTTCTAGCAGGTTACTTTAAGTTTTTACATTTTTAATCCAATTCCCAGTGTGCCCTGAGATTGACTTCTTGACCATCCTTGCAGGACTTGATAGATGAAAAGAACGGGGTTGAACAGGCAAGTTCTCATGTTATTACTGTTGAAAAGTCAAAATGGTCGTCAAGCTTATTATCTCGATATATTGCATGTGCTAACCCTAAACTTTCTGCCATTACAGGTTGTTGGAGAGGCCAGGTCTGGTGATATTTTTGGAGAGATTGGCGTGCTCTGCTATAAACCACAGCTGCTAACAGCCCGCACCAAGAAGTTGTGTCAGCTGTTGCGATTAAATCGTACTTCATTCCTTAGTATAGTGCAGTCGAATGTTGGAGATGGAACTATAATTATGAGCAATCTATTACAGGTTCGTAACTGAATGCTCTTGGCGTATGTTTGTTGGAACATGTTAGCAAGCATTTAATTTTCAATTTTTCTCTTCCACTATGAATATAATTTATAGGCCGTATGGTGTAAGGCTGTAGAAGTTGGTATATATTATTGGCACAATGCACAATTGCTAATTTATGCACTGCACTGCATATGATATTAAATGGTCATGATCTGCAGAGGATAGGAACTTAATTAGTTCTGATTAGTGATTAAATGAGGATATTCAACATTTTAATTAATTGAAGAGTATGATATGCATAAAATCATGTGAAAACACATTTCTTCTACCAGAGGGCGGTGAGAGATGGTTCTTTGCCTGAAAATAGTTTTATTTTTTCAAGAAGCAAAAAAAAAAAAATTCAAAGCACCAGTGGAACACTGCCTCTTCTTCACCCATTCTAAAGATAGCTTGAAAGGTCTTCTGTACTCTTGAGCTGAAGACTTCAGAGAATCCTGAGGACAGAAAAAAAACCAGATTCTTTCAAAAGATAATAACCAATTACAAGCTAAACATAAGAAGCCAAAGTTTATGTTTAGCCATATTTTATGTTTTTTAAGCAACTGCCTACAGCCACATGAAGAAGCAAGAAAATCGACCATTAAAATTAAAGTACACATATAAAGTTATTTTTCCGTTGAACCTCGCAAAGAATCTCGATAGTACTCATCTTCTCTCTTTGTCCTACCCTTCCCTCTCTGTTTGCATTGTTTTCTCAAGACGATATGATAAACGTTAGTTACAAGGCAGAATTTTGGCCCATGACAACCTGAGACATACAAAGAAGAGGTATAGAATCATAACCATGTGAAAGTTCTGCAACAATGTCAAATGTTTCGGCCAGCCATGACTGAGAGAATTTTATTTGTGGTTTCAGCTAAACTGAGATCGTCCTGCAACAAACTAAGCCCTGGGGTCTGTACTTCTGCCAAGAGAAAGAAAATTGAGCAGAAAGGTTAAAGGTCTGTTTAAAATTCCCTTGACAAGAGATAAAGCTCAAAATCATTTCCATCTAACGCAGCCAATTGGGTTAAGCACTGCACTTGTTTGGACATTTAAGAAAGTATTGTCTTCTTATGGATCTGCATTTTTTGGAAGTATGTTATGCATTTTAGACAATTTTTTTCTTCCACATAGTACTTGCTTTCTTATTATTTCAACTTTTAAGGTTTTTCCTCATACAAAAATGCTCTCAATTATGTATAAATATCTCAGTTACATATATTTATATTGACAAAGATCATAACAGATCAAGAAATCTTGATCCAAAGCTGAGCCATTTTATTTCATTTCATAATTTTGATGGCAAAATTCTTTTTGTAATTCTTTTTCCCCATTGGATTACAGTATTTGAAAGAGCACAAGGATTACGGAACGGGCAGAATCCTTGATGAGGTAGAGAGCATGTTGACCCGAGGTCAGATTGATCTACCTCTCACATTATGTGGTGCTGTTATTAGAGGAGATGATCTGATACTGGAACAGCTTCTGAAACGGGGTTTGGATCCAAATGAATCTGACAGTACTAACCACACAGCGCTGGTTTGTAATTTACTTCTTAACATTCTTTATGATTATTCATTTTCCATATAAAGTGTATCCTGAAGTAAATATTTTCTCTTTCAAATTTTACATAATAATCAGCACATAGCGGCTTCCAGAGGAAATTTTAATGCTGCTCGTCTTCTGCTTGAGTACGGAGCAAATCCCAATAGCATAGGTATGAGGCATGCAATCTGGAAATCTCCCTCTGGTTTTACAAGATTTCATGAGTTATAATGTTATATATGAGTTTCTGGAGTTAATCAGTACTTAGAGCATCTCCAACAGCTTCTCCAAAATTTTCTTCAAAATGGGGAAGCAAAAGTCATATTCTCTAACTAATTTTTACACCAACTCCAACAGCTTCCCCATTTTGAAGAATCTCTTTTTTCCTCCAAAAATTTGGAGAATGCTGCAGATTTGGGGAAGTTTCCCCATTTTTTCTCCTCCATCCCTATTTTGGGGAATGAGATGGGGAATCTGTTGGGCCAAAATCCTAACTAAATTCTTCAAAAGTAGGAAATGGAGAAGCTGTTGGAGATGCTCTTATACATTACAAGAGTAGCTATTTATTGTTCCCCAGCATATGTAAAGTTCCCATCTGATATGATGCACACCATTTGTCTTGATGAAACATATACGGACAAACTTTTATGCATAAAATTTAATCAATGCGTTAAATGATCCTTTCATCCTTCAAGCATGATTTGAATAGACTATGAATCTTTAAGGTAGCTATCTTAGGTAGCTACCTTGTTAGGATAATTTAAACACAGAACCAGGATAATTTAAACACAGAACCAGGAAATAGAGAGACAATCACAAACACAATATTTACGTGGTTCGATCAAATTGATCTACGTCCACGGCAAGAAGGTGTATCACTATATTTCTTTCTCAACATACAACACTCATACAAAATATTAAGAGCTCACAGATTTCTCGTGTGGCTTTCACTCTCTGTCTCTCAAGCTCTGTTCGTTGATTATTTTGATATCAGAGAGGATAAGGGATTTATAGGCTTCATAAGACCACCAATCACACCTCATGTTTGTTGACAAGCAAAAGAAAAACAAAACTGGCCTCTTTATTTGACAAACAAAAGATTTCAACTCGTGATATCTTCTTCTAACCCCTCTACTTCTTCTGATGGATATTTGTCAAAAAACTGCGGCCATTCTTGTTTGTTTCTCATTTAGCACTCAATTTTTCAACCAAGCACTGTCATTGTCAACACGCTACCTACACTTTTGTGGCTTGATGTTTTTGACCAACAATCTCCACCTCGGTGAAGTTTTCCAAAAACTGAGCCGACACCATCCAATCCAAATGTCTCACTTGTTGCGTCCAGGACACCGTGAAACAATTCACGACAACGGACTCAATCCACAACAAGTCGAGATCCAAATAAGAATGCGAACACGCTCCAACCTGGATTGAATTCTCAAACATCCATAACTAGTGAGTTTTCACCCGTCTTGCAAATAATGCCCCAAAAGGGGCCACTTAACAAGTGCGAATGCCTCCCAAATTCAAGCAGTGCTTGAACTTGAAGGCTGGGATCGATTTGATCAACATGTCAGCTGGGTTGTCTGCAGTACCAATCTTCTTCATCATGATGTTTCTTTCAGCAGTTGCCTCACAAATGAAATGATATCTGACATCAATATGCTTTGTCCTCTCATGATGTGCTGAGTTTTTGCTTAGATGTATTGCGTTCTGATTGTCGCAAAATACAATTGAACTAGCCTCCTGTAAAAGTCCAAGCTCCCTCACGAGATTTCTCAACCAAATGGCCTCTTTTACCGCTTCTGCTGCTGTCATGTATTCTGCCTCTGTGGTAGACAAAGCAACTATCGACTGTAGAGTCGATCTCCAACTAATAGCTGAGCCAGAAAGAGTAAAAAGATAACCAGTCAAAGATCTCCTTTTATCGAGATCACCTGCATAGTCAGAATCCACAAAACCTACAACTGAGGTTCCCAAAGTACTACTATCAAAAACTAAACCCAATTCTGAGGTACCCCTGAGATACCGTAGGATCCACTTTACTGCTTCCCAGTGTGTCTTTCCTGGTTGAGCTATGTATCTACTCACTACACTGACTGCTTGGGCAATGTCTGGACGAGTGCAAATCATAGCATACATTATGCTACCCACTGCATTAGAGTATGGAACTCGGGACATCTCCTTCTTCTCGTTCTCACTTGTAGGTGAATCTGAAGCCGAGAGCCTAAAGTGAGGAGCCAAATGAGTCGTAACGGGTTTGACCCTTTTCATCCCAAAGCGTTCAAGCACCTTTTCAATATAACTCTTCTGTAAGAGATATAAAGTTCCAGCTTTCCTATCCCTCCTGATCTCCATACCTAAGATCTTCTTTGCTGCACCAAGATCTTTCATCTCAAACTCATCACTGAGTTGTTTCTTTAAAATAAGAATCTGTGACATGTTCCTAGCAGCAATAAGCATATCATCGACATATAATAGAAGATAAATAAAAGAATCATCTCCTAGATGCATGTAGTACACACAACTATCATAAGTACTTCTTGAGTACCCATGACTAAGCATAAAATTATCAAACCTCTTGTACCACTGTCTGGGAGATTGCTTCAAGCCGTACAAAGATTTCTTCAATCTGCAAACTTGATCTTCTTTACCTTCTACAATGTATCCCTCTGGCTGAGACATATAGATAGTCTCCTCAAGTTCGCCATGCAAAAATGCAGTCTTCACATCCCTCAAGTTCGCCATGCAAAAATGCAGTCTTCACATCAAGCTGCTCAAGCTCCAGATCAAATAGAGCAACTATGGCAAGCAATACACGGATGGAGGTATGCTTCACAACCGGAGAAAACACTTCATCATAGTCAATTCCCTCTTTTTGTCTATAACCCTTAGCTACCAACCGTGCTTTGAATCTAGCATCTTCAACCCCTGGGATCCCTTCTTTCTTTTTGAAAATCCACTTGCATCTAATTGCCCTTTTACCCTTAGGTAATTGCACCAAATCCAAAGTCTGATTCTTGTAGAGTGCCTCGAGTTCTTCTATCATAGCTGTGGCCCAGCGTCCAGATTCTCCGCATGAGACAGCTTCAGTAAAGTTTGATGGCTCTTGAATACTCATCTCTTCAGCTGTCGTGAGAGCATACGCCACTAATTCAGCATGTGCATATCTTTGAGGAGGTTTGATCTGTCTCCTCTCTCTGCCAGTGGCTATGGAATAAGGTTCTTCAGTCTCAGCATCATCAGCATCTGAGCCTGAATCATGTTGCTCTTCTACAGCTGTAGGAGCAAATTTTATAGACGACTTTTGAGACGTCTCTCCCTCGAACTCCACCTGAAGCTCCACCTTATCCATGGTCTTCTCTACATTTCCTGTAGACTCAACAGAAACCTTCCCATGATCAAGCATATATCTTTCATTAAAAGTAACATCTCTACTAATAATGAATTTAGGAGAATCAGGTTCAAGACTCCACAAACGATAGCCTTTAACGCCTTCAGCATAACCAATAAATATGCATTTCTTAGCTCTAGGCTCAAGCTTACCCTCTCTAACATGATAGTAAGCGGGACATCCAAATACCTTTAAATTTGAATAGTCATTTGGTTTACCTGACCATACCTAGTTTGGAGTCTTGTGTTCAATAGCGGTAGAAGGAGACCGGTTCACCAAGTAACAAGCTGTGTTAACAGCTTCAGCCCAGAAGTCTTTATCCTAGAAGGAGACCGGTTCACCAAGTAACAAGCTGTGTTAACAGCTTCAGCCCAGAAGTCTTTATCCAACCTAGAGTTTGAGAGCAGACACCTAGCTCTCTCCGTCAATGTTCTATTCATGCGTTCTGCCACCCCATTTTGCTGAGGAGTGTGCCTGACCGTGCGATGTCGTACGATCCCAGAATTTGAGCAGAACTGATTGAACTCACCACTGCAGAACTCTAGGCCATTATCTGTTCGGAGACGTTTAATCTTCTTTTCAGTTTGATTCTCAATAAGTACTTTCCACTTCTTGAAAGTTTCGAACACCTCGCTTTTGCACCTGAGAAAGTAAACCCAAACTTTCCTGGAAAAATCATCAATAAACGTCAGAAAATAAAGAGCACCACCTTTGGATGGAACCTGAGCAGGTCCCCATAAATCTGAATGGATGTAGTCGAGAGTGCCCTTCGTCGTATGTGAGCCAGTCGAGAAGCTGACCCGAGTTTGCTTCCCAAACACACAATGCTCACAGAAATCAAGTGATGATGTATGGTCACCACAGAGTAAGCCATGTTTATTCAAAATAGTCATCCCCTTCTCACTCATGTGGCCTAAGCGCATGTGTCACAACTGAGTAGTGTCTCTATCAGCATCAGAGGACACACTTGCAGAGCCTGTCACCGTACTGTCTTGGAGAACATAAAGACTGTTCACCATACTACCTTTCATTACAACCAATGAACCCTTAGTAACTCTAAGAGCTCCACCTTCGCCAGTGTAAGAACACCCAATAGAATCCAAAGAACTCAAAGAAATCAGATTTTTCTTTAAGTCCGGGATGTGTCTCACATCTGATAAAGTTCTCACTATATCCCATCGTGACACCGAATGCGAACTGTACCAATGCCAACTATCTTGCAAACTGCATTGTTGCCCATCAAAACTGATCCACCACTTATAGATCTGTAAGTAGTGAACCAATCTTTATTTGGACACATATGAAAAGACGCTGATGAAATTTGTCCCTTGGATACTGCCGTTGTTACTGAGACGGTTCTTGCAGTATGTCCCTTGGATGGCCGTTCCGATGTGTCCAAATAAAGATTGAAAGCTGTCCTAGAACCGAGAAGCTCTGATACCAGTTTGTTAGGATAATTTAAACACAGAACCAGGAAATAGAGAGACAATCACAAACACAATATTTACGTGGTTCGATCAAATTGATCTACGTCCACAGCAAGAGGGTGTATCACTATATTTTTTTCTCAACATACAACACTCATACAAAATATTGAGAGCTCACAGATTTCTCGTGTGGCTTTCACTCTCTGTCTCTCAAGCTCTGTTCGTTGATTCTTTTGATATCAGAGAGGATAAGGGATTTATAGGCTTCATAAGACCACCAATCACGCCTCATGTTTGTTGACAAACAAAAGAAAAACAAAACCGGCCTCTTTATTTGACAAACAAAAGATT